TATGCATAAATGCAACAATTAGCCATTGGCTATTTCAACATGCATTTTATTTTACTTGTATATGATGTGTGTGTCCGGATTGTGTAGTTTAAATCAATTCGGATGCGATGAAATTTTTTTTTGCTTTTTTCTTTTTTCAATCCGAGCTACTACAATTTTTGTTATTTTACTTTTTTTTCATTTCAAAATTAATTTCATCATAATCATCATCATCAAAATGATATAATAACCGATCAATTGATTCGGTCAAATGAGGGCAATGAAGAAAAAAAAATAGGAAACGCCTGTCGTCGTTGCTGTCGAAATAGAAAATAAAAGTGGAAAAAGAAATTACACACAAAACTTTGATACAAGAAAGTGTGTGTGTGTGTGTGTGGTGGTTGATAATGATAATTATCAGTTAGCTAGCCACCCGACACAACATCTGTAATCAAAAACATTATCTTATTATATTGACAACAAGCAAACTAAACTTTGGAAAGGGGGAGGGGAGGGGGAACAAAAAAGATTTTCAGTAAAATTAAATAAGATCTCCGGGTATCAAAATCATCAAAATGAAGCGAAAAAATGTGATGAAATGAAATTTAGTTAGTTTTTCGCTTTCTTCCAAAAAAAAGCGGATATGTAAATTATATCATAAAACCAGTCAGATGATTTTATTACGAAAAAAAAATTCATTTAAAACCACCGTGGGGGAAAAAACAAAAGGTCTGACCAAAGGTCAAACATTGTCATTTTTGTTGTTTTTTTTTCATTCATTTTATAATTATGGTTATGCAAATTTGTGTTTTGTTTTTTTTTCTGAAAAAAAATTAGATCAAAAAAATATGCCGGATGTTTGCTGAATGTTTGAATGAAGAATCTTGTTTTTTGCAAAAAAAAACGAACAACCAAAGTCGAAATAGTTAGTTAATAATTGGTTAAATCATGATCAATAGCCCTTTGGGCATTTTTGATTTTTGATCGGATGTCTGTTGTTGTTGTTGTTGTTGTTGCTTGTGTAACATAAAATGAAATGTGTGTGTGTGTGTGTGTGNCAAAACCCTTTAAAATTTCATTCCATTTCCCAAAAAAATTGGTTAATTTTTTTTCAAAAAAAAAAAAAAAATTATCATCGTGGTCATCTTCTTCTTCATGACTTGCATTAATTAGCAAAAAATTTTCTTTCTTCCTTTTTCTTAAATAAATGGATAATGGTAGAAAATCTTAACCGCAAAATCAATGGATATGTTTATGATGATGGTGAGGATGGTGGTGGTGGGGAAAAACTTTCATTTTTAAGCATTTAAAGCGGAAATAAACGAAATCAAAAACGTGACAGGTTGTTGTTGTTGCCGTTGAAAGTGTTAATTTATTAAATTTTTTTTAAAGAAAAAAGAAAAATAAAAAATCAATGAAAACAAAAATTATTTACAACAAAAATTGATTTTGAAAAACAACAAAAGAAATAAAAGTTTCAAAAAATTTTATAAATAAAAAAAAGATGAAAAAATAATGAAAAAATAATGGATCGATTAGAATTGGGTTAATGGGTTTGGTGTGGTTTGATTTGTGATTCATGCATGAATCCAAAATCTGATTAGAATGTTGATTAGTGTATCGGGTTACAGTGAAAATTGATGAAAAAATAATTTAAAAAATTAGTAAAATAATGATATGATGAGTTAATATCAAATAATTTAGATGATAATAATGATGATGAGGTTGATGATGACCAGGAACAGATTACCATTTTTGTATGTCCAGAATTTGTTTCGTTTCATTTTCATTTCATTTCATTAATAATAATAACTTTGATAATTATTTGTTGCAGTTAAAATTGGTGTTTGATAATAATATCGTGGTGATTGATTTGATGATTGATATTGTTGATCTTGATATTGTTGATTTAATTGCGAAGAATAAGTTTTACTATTATAATATGGATATGTTGCATATGATAAATACGATGATGATGGTTGATATGATGGCGTTGGTGGTGGTTTTACATAAACAGGTATCGGTATCTTTACCGGAACATATTTTTTTTCAACAACATTTACCGGAAACTTTTTCAACAAAAAAAATGAAAATTTCAATTAGAAATTCAAAGCAAGTTGAATTATTATTTGACTTACCGGATAGAATACACGACGCCAAATAGTAATCGGTTGACGTGTAAGACTTTGTCCTAAACGAAATGCTTGCATTTCAGCTAATGGTCCAGCATAATTTGGTTGAATTTGATTCATTATTAATATTAACATTATCATGGCCAAGGTTATTGTGGTTGTCGATGATGATAATTGTTTGGTGGTTAATCTTAACCGATTTGGATTCATTTTTAAACGGGTATTCCTTCAACGAAAACAAACAAACAAACAAAAAACACAAATTGAAAAAAAAAGTCAAAAAGAAAACTTTAAAGCAATCGATGATATTCGAGAATGATGAACATCAAACAAAATGAAGATGATTGAAGAAACATTTAACATTTCCTTTAACATCCAGGATTTTTGAAACATCATTTTTCTACTTCTTCGATCGACATTCCCGCGTGACATAAGTCGAGTTTCTCTTTTTTTTCTTTTTTCCATTAAACGGTTATCATCGTATCGTATATCGTATAGGTTATGTATATATGAAAAAGGGGAAAGCCCGACATACGGACACACATTACATAGGTAAATATAATGATGATGATGTTTGAGAAACAACAAAAATCATCATCATCATTCAATGGCCAAAAAAAAAATCTTAATAAGGATAATGTCGGATATCATATTTATGCAGAAAATGACTAAATATTATGATAAAAGAAGATTGATGAAAATGACGGAAATCTCATTAATCTATTTCAATCATTCATTCATTCATTCGTTAGTTAGTTAGTTAGTTTTTTTTTGTTTTCTCACATCCTTTTCTTCTTCATCCTTTGTTGAAACAAACAAACAAAACAATCAAAGCTTTAGCATCTTCTTGGAATATATTTGACTATTCACTTTGTTACTTCTGCTTCTGTCGTTGATTAATTACATTCGTTACAATTCAATTGTTTCGAGTGAAATCTAGATTAATTTGTAAAATTTCCGGATGTCTCAGGTTACTATGTTTCAGTCTCCTATAGGATTACAGGTGGTTAAGTCTGTCATTTTTCTTGACATCAACCTTCAATCATTTAAAATGAAAAATGAAAAATGATGAAAAATGATGATGATAATCGTTTTCAAACGCCATCTGTATTCGAAAACAATGTATCATTTTTTTGTTTTATGTTTGTTTGAAAATTTCCTGAACCTAAACCACCACCAATGGATTGGAATCATTTTTTGTTTTGCAAAAAGCAAAAAACAATGATCAATGATTGTTGTCCGAAAAGTTCGTTCCGTTTTTATGTCGAAAACTTTTTTTGCTTTACCCGAAATGAAACGAAAATTTCCAAAACGGAAAAAATTATTCATCGTAATCATCATTATTACGGAAATTTATTCAATTTATGAAGAAATGAAAAACGACGATGATGATTTCATCCTCAATTTAATGAATTTTGATCTCGAAAAAAAACATTCATTTTACAAATGTTTCTGGGCAAATTTCCCGGAAATTTAATGTAAATGATTACGGATTAATTTTGCTTATGCTTATGGTTAATTTGATTGCATTTGGAAAAAATATTTCACCGATCTTTTTCAACAAAATTAACAAATTTTTTTTCTTTTATTAATGATGTAATAAAATTTCTTTATTTGAATTTCAACAAAAAAAATTCGCTCAAGATTCATTTAAAGGAGGATTTATCAAGGAAGAAGAAGATTTATATGTAAAT